CTGAAGTTGTGACCGTGCCAACAAGAGGACGCATTGACGTAGTTACCCGAACTCTACTTGTTCTGGTAAGTGTTAACCAGCTCTGGAGTTTGATCATGGAGCTTATGCTGCTTTACTGATGTGGTGCATTTTATTGCTTTTTATAGCCTGAAGGAGTTGAAAGGATCTTCACCCAGAGTTGGTTATTGTGTCCAAAGGGTTTGTTTGCACTCAGTGACATTCTAAATGCATTCTCCCTCTATCAGCGAACTGTAACCTAGCACTCTGCTGATCCGTTCTGTTTGGTCCACAGGAAGTGTCCTTTCAGAAGACGTGTCTCTGATGTTTCCAACAAATGTGATCCAGGGATCAGCCAAGTGCTCAGTTTCAGTCCTTGGTAAAGCGTTTCATTAAGGAGAAGTGGACTCTGAGACTTTCAGCAAAATAACTTTGGTTTCTGATGGCTTTTTGGTTTGACCTTGGTTTCTTCCTCTCTTAGGGGACATAATGGGTCGTGCGCTAAAGAATCTTGATAACTTGTTACAGATGCCATCAGGCTGTGGAGAACAAAATATGATCGTTCTTGCTCCCAATATTTACATCCTCCAGTACCTGGAAGTCACTGGGCAGCTCACCCCAACCATCCGACAGACTGCCATTGGTTACCTTCAGAGCGGTACAGATTGCCGAATCCTACAAGTCAAGGGCATCATGTGGTGTAATGTGATTCCTGACAAGTTTATTTTTTTGGACTTGTCATGCAGCAGGGAACTCTGTACCACAATGACATGAAGGTGTGCATGTTTCTTTCAATGTGCCGTAACTGGTCTGAGACTGACCTTAATCGTTATGCTGTGTGTTAGGGTGGTGTTGGTGATAACGTGACCATGACGGGCTACGTTGTTGCGTCGCTGCTTGAACTAGGTGTCCTTGTCACGGTAAACATGCCTACCAGTAGTTAGACAAGCTCCTTGATGACCTTCTGGTTATGTAGTCTGACATTTGCTTTGCTTTCAGGATCCCATCATCACCAATGCTCTGTCTTGCTTGAGGCCTGTCGTTGGGAACCTGGAAAACACTTACACCACGGCTCTGCTCGCCTACACCTTCAGTCTGTTCATGCTTTGTCTCTGCTCGCCGCTGAAGTGTTCAGCCTGGAGGGATCCAGCACTGTTACTGTACAGTCATCTGTGGCAGGAGAGGTGTACAACTTTGATGTGAATCGAGACAACAGGCTGCTGTATCAGGAGAAGCCGCTGAAGAACGTTCCTGGCAGATATAGTGTTAGAGTGAAGGGCTCCACCTGTGTGTCTGTGCAGGTCTGAACCTTCACCTGCTTAACTTCTACTTCTACGCTTGTCCTAGTTCCTTGTCATGTTTGGGTTTTGTACTCCCAGGTTGCATGTTTGTACAACATCCCGACACCCGTTAAAGCTTCCAGAACACTTAGCGTTGAAGTGAAGGTGGCAAGAGACTGCAAAGTGCGTGGAGCGGATCTCGTGTTGAACATCACTGTGAAGTAAGGACCGCTTCGACTTTGACCTGTTTGACCCTTAAAGCATCTTTACACAGCTGAGCTAAGGCTGCTCTGTGCCTGCTCAATTCTGTGACCATTTCACATAAAATCCAGTCCAAATCATGTAGTTCTGACCCACCTCAGCCCCTAATATCAAAGAATACAGTTGGAGTTTCTGCATAAATGCTATTATGCCACCTCTGAGGAGCATTAAGCCATTTTTGTAGATGCACAATTGTTAGTTCAGAAGTGCTTGGCTTGTGTTTATTTATTTTCTCCCCTTCATTTAGGTACAGTGGTGCAAAACCAACTACCAACATGGTTATCGTTAACATTAAACTCCTGTCTGGTTTCACAGCGGATACCTCACTGGTTCGTATGTTTTAAGATGAATTGTATGTGAAGTCCTAAGATGCTTGAAGCTGTTTGTTAATGGCCCTTTTTCTCTCAGCTTGGATCTCCACTGGATACATTTGCTCCACTAGTGCAGCGGGTTGATACTGGAGATGACCATGTGCTTGTGTATCTGAAAGAGGTGAGATGTGCACTGGGTATGTTCTCTATTTGCATCCATGTGTGCTGCATATGTACTTCTCTTCATCCCTTCTGCCTCGCAGGTTCCCAAGGGCGTCCCCATGACCTACAGGCTACAACTGAAACAGGTTCTTGCAGTGCAGAATCTCAAGCCAGCGGTCGTTGAGGTTTATGACTACTATCAGCCAAGTATGCTTTCAGTGGCTCCTGCTTTTGGCTGAGTTCCCTGTTGTTCATGTGTCAAGCTGACTTCCTGTTCCTCTTTGACTTTCAGGTGATGTGTTTGAGACCACATACATGCCTCCCTGTCCATGATTGTGCTTCATTTCTGGCTATAGGATGCATGAATGAAATAAAACTCCTCTTTAAAAATCTGTCATTGCTTGCCTCTTTTGTTGAACATCTGACATGTGTTTGAAGCTGGACATCTCAAACTAGCACTATTCATGAGGTTCCTACACGGTTAATGGCTTTTTGTTTTAATACAATGGCTTTTAACTTGGGCTGTGAGTGCTCTTGCTTTCCATGTGTTGCAGGTCAACTTTTTTATTTTATTTTTTTTAATACACACGCTTGCTTGTACGAACTTTCATGCAAATTTGTCTTTTGCGTAAACCAATATTTATCCAATATCTCTAGCAAATACAGTTTCTGGTTTCATGGCTTTATTTTTAATGAAATAAAAATACTGAATCAAAATACTATATTGATGCTAAAATGGCACTGCAGCTGTGATTGGTTCGTTCAGTCTGTAAGTATCCACCTGCCAGCCCAGAACAGCAGAATCCAGCAGCCTGGTCGACGGTTTAATGCGTATTCGGTTTTTTGCTTGCACTTGAGTTTATCAAGACTTTTTCAATTTGAGTCTAGCTCACGACTAGAAGTTCAATCTGACTCCAATTTCAAGTGACCAGTTTAATTAGCAATATTGCCTAAATTTAATGATCAAGCATTGTATTAAGATATTTGAGTATTCTGGAAATCCCATACTTTCAATTATTCGTTCATTAAGGACCTAACTTTGCTCAAATCTACTTGGGCAACTGAACGCACTGACACTAACTTGTCAGTTCTGTAATTTACTCTGAAGATACAGGGTGATTTATAATAGCTTTTAAGAGCCGCACCCTGCTAGCAAGTGGTTTTTTTGTTTTGTTTTGTTTTTTCTGTATTCACATTGTAACTTAAGCCAGTGACCGACAGAAATCAGAAAATCCCTAATGGAGAGCCACCTGCTCCGCTCATTGATACTTAAGTATGATCTGCCCTGGATGCAGATTTGCAGAAACGTTAGACTACACAATCTACTTATATTTGATTCAGATCTCTTCTGAAATAATTTTAATTTATTTGTCAGGTAAACTTGTACCATGCCAATTACATAATGAAACCATTAGAAGCCAATTTAGAAAAATGCAATTGTGAATCTCTTTGTAGCCACGTGGCAACCCCACTCCGGAAGATACTGTAGCTATATGGAAAACAGCCAAGTGTTCCACACAGGAGACAAAACAAATTTAACAGTCACATGTAACGGTTATCCTAATTTAACAAGACACGCGGTCTAAAATGCATAGCAAAGCACTCAGGTGTTTTAGAAAATAAACTTAACTAGCCTGTGCACATGTAGTAGCACAAACAACTATACAGTGTGCTGTATGGGCACAATGT